GAGTAGTAATAGAGGACTTTAAAAGAAAATAAGAGAAAAAAAAACAAGAAAAAAAATTTTTTTCCTAATTAAAAAAATAGTAAAAATATATGAAAATGAAAGTTAAGGAGTAATGGGGGAGTAATAGGGAATTTTAAAAGAAAATAAGAGAGAAAAAATAAGAAGAGAAAAAAAAATTTTTTTAATTAAAAAAAAAAAAAAGGTAAAAATATATCTAGGAATTTCTCTGGAGCTGTTGCGGTCCGTGTGGGTTCGGTTCAGTTTCAGATAGCTCCTCTTTCCAGCTTACACTTCTCAATATCTATAGACCTTTTCTGGTGTAGTTAGTGTTATCTACCGGGATTTAAATCTGTTGCACCGGTCCCTTCTGAAGTGGTTCCCTTTGTCTGTTTGGCTTCTGTTTGCCAGTCTCTTCATCCGCCCTGACACAGGCGGGCGGAGGTGGTCTCTTGTTCAGGTTCGCTAGTTCCGTCGCGCTGCGGGGAGGTGGGGGGAGGGAGGGGCGCTGTTTTCCCCATCTACGCTGCTCAGGCTCCCGGCTGCTCTATATGGAGCGTGCCCTGCGTTGCGTGTGGTTCCAGTTTTCAGGTTCTCCACAAAAATGCAGACTCGGCTGCGCCTGCGTTTTGTGCCTTCCCCAGCCTGAGCAGCTCAGGCAGCCAGGAGCTTGACGGGTGCACTTTCCCGGGTGCAGTGTGCATTCTCCCCTCCACGGCCCCAGCCTCAGTTTCAGAGCGCGCTGGTCGGGTGCGTGTGCCTTGTGTTTAGCTGCGACCCTCCCAGCGATTGTCGACCATCCAGAATCTCAGAAGTCTTTGGTTAGAAACTGGAGGCCTGTTTGCAGTGTGGTAGGGGATGCCGTCTCTGGGGCCGAGTTTGCCCCTTTCCCCTCCCCTCTGCCTCCTGCCTCCGGCCGGGATGGGCCGGTCCGCAGCCGGCTAGCTCCTCTGGACTTGCTCAGACCCTTTGTTTTGCGAACGGCCGGCAGTGTGTTCGGGCCGGTTAATTTTCTCTCTCTCTTTTGCTGTCCCATAGTTTAAGTTGGTATCTCACAAAAGCTCCCTCCGATTGCCCTCAGGGCACTCAGGCCCGGTCCTTACCCTAAGCAATGCCGCCTGCTCCTCTCCGTTCTGCCCCCACTTGCTGGTGGCGGATGCGGGCATCTGGGGGTACTTTTCTGCTGGGAGTTGCTATTAGACACGTAATCTGTGGGTTTTATTTATTTTTCCTCCCAGTTAGGTTGCCCTCTGAGATTCAAAAACTTCCCCCAGACCCACCAGTGCGAGGGTTTCCTGGGGTTGGGAAACTTCCTCTATTAAGACTCCCTTCCCGGGATGGGTCTCTGTCCCTAGCTCTTTTGTCTCTCTTTTTATCTTTTATATTTTGTCCTACCTCCTTTCGAAGACAATGGGCTGCTTTTCTGGGCGCCTGATGTCCTCAGCTAGCAAAAAGAAGTTGTTTTGTGAAGTTTGCTCTGTGTTGAATTGTTTTTTCGATGAATTTGTAGGGGAGAAGGTGGTCTCCCCGTCCTATTCCTCCGCCATCTTGGCTCCAGTCCTCTGATAGTAGGTTTTAAAAATGAAAATTAAAGAAGTAATAAAGAACTTAAAAATAAAAAAATTAAAAATGATAATAGTAAAATGTATCTAGGAATTTCTCTGGAGCTGTTGAGGGCAGTGTGGGGTCAGTTCAGTTTCAGATAGTGCCTTGTTCCAGCTTATACTTCTTCTCAAGGTCTATAGGCCCCTTCCAGTATAGTCAATGCTAACTACAGGGTTTTAATCTGTTGCTCCTGTCACTTCCAAAGCAGTTCCCTCTCCTTTATTTTGGCTTCCCCCATTTGCTCGTCTCTTCAGTGTCTAATTTCCGCCTTGATACCCGGGGGCGGAGGTGGTCACTTATTTAGGCTCACTAGTTCAGTCGTGCTATGGGGAGGGAGGAGCACTGCAGACAAACATCACTGATGAGTGTGGGGAGTGTGCACCGTGTCTGGGCCACACTGGGTTTACTCCCGCTCACGGGTGTGTGCCTTCCTGGTCTACACTGCTCAGGCTCCAGGTTGCTCTGCAGGGGGGCTTTCTAAAGCAGGCCCTGGGTTGCGTGCACTTCCCAGGTCTAAGCCGCTTAGGTTCAGGTTCTCGGGTGCTCCACCAAGGCACAGATTCGGTTGGGCCTGCATTTTGTGTCCTTCCTGGGTCTGAGCAGCTCAGGAGACCAGGTGCTTGGCGAATGCACACTCCACAGGTGGGCGATGCGTCGCATCACCTCCCCCATCCTGGCCACTCGGTTTCCTGGGTGCGCAGCGGGAGCACCGTCTCAGGTGTGGCCTGTGTCTCCTCTGGGGAGCTGATCTCTGGCTGCGGCCCTCCTGGCGGATGTCAACCGTCCAGGACCCCAGGAAGACTTAGGATCTGCGAGCAACTGGAAGCCTGCTCGCAGCGGAGGATGCCGTCTCTGGGGCCGAGTTTGACCCTTTCCTTCCGGCCTCTGGTGGGGGATGGGCTGGCCCGCAGCTGGCTAGGTCTCTGGTATTTGCTCAGTCCTTTGTTCTGTGAGTGGGCCGGCAGTGCCTTAAGTTAGAGCTTTTTAGGGAAATGGGGAAAGTTCTCTCTCTCGTCTTTCTTTTTTTCCTCTCTCTCTTGCTATCCCACAGTTTGGGTTGCTATCTCACGTTAGCTCCCTCAGAGTGTCCTCAGGGCATTCAGGCCTGGTCCTTACCCTAAGCACTGCAGCCCGCGCCTCCCTGTTCAGCCCCCACCTGCTGGTGGCGGATGCGAGCGTCTGGGCTACTTCTCCGCTGGGAGTTGTGGTTAGGCATGTCATCTGTGGGTTTTATTTATTTATTTATTTCCTCCCGGTTATGTTGCCCTCTGAGATTCCAAAACTCCCCATAGACCTGCCCGTGAGAGGGTTTCCTGGTGTTTGGAAACTTCTCCTCTTTTACGACTCCCTCCCTGGGACAGGTCTCCGTCCCTAACTCTTTTGTCTCTCTCTTTATCTTTTATATTTTGTCCTACCTCCATTTGAAGACAATGGTCTGCCTTTCTGGGTGCCTGGTGTCCTCCATCAGCATTCAGAAGTTGTTTTGTGGAATTTTCTCAGCATTCAAATGATGTTTTGATGAATTTGTGGGGGAGAAAGTGGTCTCCCCATCCTATTCCTCTGCCATCTTAGGACCGCCCCCCCCGCCCCCCCAATCTACTCTTTCAAGACGACAGGCAGCATGTCTGTCTTGTTCCTTGGTGAACCTCCAGTGTATAGCAAAAACTGCATGCCTGTTTCATGGTTAAATGCTCAACAGAGATTTGATGCATTAATACTTGACATTGCCATAGATTTTCTCTCTCTCTCTCTCTTGCTGAAAAATGCCTGACTTGCAGTAAACACTTGAGAGAGACTTGGTAAATAAATGATTCTTCTCACTGAAATAGGAAGTCAGTTCATTAAGTGAGATAATAATTAAAACATTTTGAGCTCTAGACACTGGATTAAATAATTATATCCTGGCTGCTGTAACAAACTGCAGTGTTTTAGTGGTTTATGTAATAAAAGTTTCTTTTTTACTCAGTAACACTACAGAATGGCTGTTTCTGATGGACAGGCAGCTTTCCTGTTTTTTGAAACCCAGGCTCCTTCCATCTCTACCATCTCCGAGGCCTTTGCCTGTGAACTGGGGAGAGAATGAGAATGTGGTCTCACAGTCTTCAAATAGGGTAGGAAGGCACTTCCTACAGGCAGCTCCAAATTACAGAAATGTGAACATGAATTTCAATGGACCCTTAGCCATCTCTTCCACATTTCCTTTTTTTTACCATTTTATTAATAGCCTGATGACGGAGGTACTATTATTATCCCCATTTTACAGATAAGACAACTGAGGCTTAGACCTGTCCCAAAACAATATGATTCTAATTTGAGATTTAAACTCATGTTCCTCTGACTCCATATACCATTCTATACTTCATTATAGCCAAAGGCCAAGAAGCTATCAATAGGCCATTCTAAACCACTAGACCTTTGTTTCTCAAGTGGAAGTGATTTTGTTCCCAGGATACAGGAGAACATTTTGCAATGTCTGTAGAATTTTTTGGGGGGAGTGGGGGTTAGGTATTACTGGTGTCTAGTAGGTAGAAGTCGGGTATGCTGCTCAACGTCTTAGAGTGTACTGATATAAAACCTCTCCCACTCACAGCATACACACACAAAACAAAAAATTATTAGGCTCAAAATGTCACTAGTGCCAGAATTCTGTACCAGACTGTATACTACCCATGATGGGGGAAGGTCAGGTGTAGGTAAGACGTGATTGAAAAAAATTAGGAACAGCTGCTGTGAAGAATAAGCTATGATTCATTATCAAATGGAGAAGGCAATGGCAGCTCACTCCAGTACTCTTGCCTGGAAGATCCCATGGATGGAGGAGCCTGGTGGGCTGCAGTCCATGGGGTTGCTAAGGGTTGGACACGACTGAGCGACTTCACTTTCACTTTCACTTTCATGCGTTGGAGAAGGAAATGGCAACCCACTCCAGTGTTCTTGCCTGGAGAATCCCAGGGACGAGGGAGCCTGGTGGGCTGCCGTCTATGGGGTCGCCCAGAGTCGGACACTACTGAAGCAAGTGACTTAGCAGCAGCAACAGCATTATGAAAGGATATGAAGAGGGACTTCCTTGGTCGTCCAGTGGTTAAGACTCTGAGCTCGAGGGGGGCCCGGATTCAATGCCTGATCAGGGAATTAGAGCCTGAATACCGCAACTAAGACTCTATGCAGCTAAATTAAAATAAAAAAGAGATATGGAAGATTGGCAAACAGCAGAAATATGCTGGTGGCTGTCAAATGGAGAAGAATATAGGTGGCTCTATCATTTTTCTATCAGTTACTTGACTAAATGACAACAACTTGGCATTTCTGGGACCTGATAATACTTTTAAAGAAGTAAGTGATCTGTACTTTACTGGGTGAAAATATTATCTTTTAAACCATTTTATTTCTGAATGCAGGGAGACCAGACTCGTCCTTTTATCACATCCAGTCCTACAAATGGGGCCAAAACCACTGCAGAAGGTTGGCTTTCTCCAAACCCCTATGACCTGAATTATGGGGACGTACATTTTTATGATTATATGAGTGACTGCTGGGATTGGAGAACTTTCCCCAAAGCTCGATTTGTATCTGAGTATGGATATCAGTCCTGGCCTTCCTTCAGTACATTAGAAAAGGTAAGCCATCTTTGATTTACTGGGGCTTCAGAATTGTAGACTATGGACATGTGTCACTTCCTCAGTGTGGTTCAGAAGGTCAAATGAAATCTACTTCTTGTTTAAACAGAAGTTTAGGAAGAAGATAATAGAAAAGAACTTTTTATCCTTAACTTTTGGGGCTCTAAACTGTTATAGTCATCATTTTGTGGGTTATAACTTTTCCATATTGCTTTTATTTACATTCTTTCAAGAGCATTTAAAAATTCAGTGGGAAGCCAGTGATTCCTTAAGCCTCACTTGTTACATGAAATACGTGAAAATTACATTCACTTACTACTTTCTGTGTGTCCTACAACTGTTTTTATTATTTACGGATACTCAGAACTGGATAGTTTGCTACAGTAAGAGAAATAGGTAAATAAACTTTTGTCTGATGTTATTATGTTGTAGCATCCCTTTTTTTTTTCCAATGACAGAATTTTTTTTTTAATATTTAAAAATAAAATCAACCTCCCCCCAAAGAACCGCCCAACAAACAAAAAAATCAGATGAATTAAAAAATTTACAATGAATATACCCAGCAAACATCTGTATGTGCAACTAAATACTGTGTCTGTTACTGAGGCACAAACCTCAAACAATATACAAGTGTTCTGGGGGTGCAGAAGGAGGCCCAAGTTTAAACTCTGTGGGGTTTGGGGAGACAAGATGGGGTGAGAGGGGAAATCAATTTTTCTTAATTCTGTCCATATAAATATATTCATAAAGACCAAAAAAGAAAAGGGAGCTTGGAATGGTAAGGAAGATAGGAGAATGGGGGGAGTATATGGGACCCTTCCAATTCTACCTGACCAAAAAATAGGAATTAATTTCATGGTGAAAGAAGAGATGAAAAATGATAGAAGAGGATGGGAAAGAGAGGGAAGCAGCCATGGGCAGCCAGGGACAGGAGGGGCCCTTGGCAGGGGAGTGAGAGAGAGTCCAGGCCCAGTGTGTCTGTTCCGTCTGCATCCCCACTGTCTGAGGCTCCGATCTAGTGACTGTCTGTGGACCTCATCTTACTTTCTGCCTCTTTCTGTGGTCTGATGGGGCCCCTTGACCCCCTCCACCTTGCTCTGACCCCTGCCATGCTGGTCCCTTCTCTTCTCCATTTATTGGGATCTGGCTTGCTCCAGGATCCTCAGGTCATAGTTCTCTTTGGCCACTCAGAGTTTGTTGAAGTGAAGTGAGGCATTCTGAGCCATTAAATTTTCCCCAACCAGGGGGCTGGGGAACACAGCCATGATGCTGTACAAGGCAGTGATGTCCAAGTGCCAGCTGTTCTCAGCAGTCCCACCATTGTCCCCCTCTCCCCCACCCCATGGTAATGTTAAGTTTCCATGTTTGAAATAGTTCAGTTGGAATTCCATCATCTCCATTAGCTTTGTTTGTAGTGATGCTTCCTAAGGACCATTTGACTTCTCACTCCAAGATGTCTGTCTCTAGGTGAGTCATCATACCATTGTGGTTATCTGGGTCATTAAGATCTTTTTTGTATAGTTCTTCTGTGTATTCTTGCCACCTCTTCTTAATATCTTCTGCTTCTGTTAGGTCCATACCATTTCTGTCCTTTATTGTGCCCATCTTTGCATGAAAAATTTGATGCTGTGAAAGTGCTGCACTCAATATGTCAGCAAATTTGAAAAACTCAGTAGTGGTCACAGGACTGAAAAAGGTCAGTTTTCATTACAATCTCAAAGAAGGGCAATGCCAAAGAATGTTCAAACTACCACCCAATTGTACTCATCTCACATGCTAGCAAAGTAATACTCAAAATTCTCCAAGCCAGGCTTCCACAGTATGTGAACCGTGAACTTCCAGATGTTCAAGCTGGATTTAGAAAAGGCAGAGGAACCAGAGATCAAATTGCCAACATCCAGTGGATTATCGAAAAAGGAAGAGAGTTCCAGAAAAACATCTACTTCTGCTTTATTGACTACACCAAAGTCTTTGTGTGGATCACAACAAACTGTGGAAAATTCTTAAAGAGATGGGAATACCAGACCACCTGACCTGCCTCCTGAAAAACCTGTATGCAGGTCAAGAAGTAATGGTTAGAACTAGACATGGAACAACCGACTGGTTCCAAATCAGGAAAGGAGTACGTCAAGGCTGTATATTGTCATCCTGTTTATTTAGCTTATATGCAGAGTACATCATGTGAAATGCCAGGCTGGGTGAAGCACAAGGTGGAATCAAGATACGCAGATATGAAGATGACACCACCCTTATGGCAGAAAGTGAAGAACTAAAGAGCCTCTTGATGAAAGTGAAAGAGGGGAGTGAAAAAGTTGGCTTAAAACTCAACATTCAGAAAACTAAGATCATGGCATCAGATCTCATCAATTCATGGCAAATAGATGGGGAAACAATGGAAACAGTGAGAGACCTTATTTTTGGGGGCTCCAAAGTCACTGCAGATGGTGACTGCAGCCATGAAATTAAAAGATGCTTGCTCCTTGGAAGAAAAGCTATGACCAACCTAGACAGTCTATGACAAAGCAGAGCCATTACTCTGCCAACAAAGGTCTATCTAGTCAAAGCTATGGTTTTTCCAGTGGTCATGTATGGATGTGAGAGTTGGACTCTCACACAGCTCTTTGCGACCCCATGGGCTGCAGCATGCCAGGCTTCCCTGTCCATTAGCAACTCCCAGAGCTTACTCAAACTCATGTCCATCGAGTTGATGATGCCATCCAACTATCTCATCCTCTGTCCTCAAATCAGTCAATCCTAAAGGAAATCAGTCCTGAATATTCATTGGAGAGACTGATGCTGAAGCTCCAATACTTTGGCCACCTAATGCAAAGAACTGACTCATTGGCAAAGACCCTGATGCTGGGAAAGATTGAAGGCAGAAGGAGAAGGGGATGACAGAGATCATCATAGGGGATGACAGATCAATGTTTGTTTGCATTGATCACTTAGGAAGGCAATCTTATCTCTCCTCACTGTTCTTTGGAACTCTACATTCAAATGGAGGTATCTTTCCTTTTCTCCTTTGCCTTTCACTTTTCTTTTCTCAGCTATTTGTAAGGCCTCCTCAGACAACCATTTTACCTTTTTGCATTTCTTTTTCTTGGGCATGGTTTTGATCATGGCCTCCTGTACAGTGTTACGAACCTCCATCCATAGTTCTTCAGGTACTCTATCAGATCTAATCCAGGGTTTTGTAATAAACTGATCAGCATTTGTATATTAGAACTTCTATACACTAGCTATATTGCCTTGAACAGATCATTCATTCTTTTTGAATTTCAGTGTTCTCATCTGTAAATTGGGGTTAATAGTAGCAGATACTTCAAGGAGTGTTTGTTTTTTGTGTGTGCACATTCAGGTATGCATGTGTGCTGTGTGACTGTGTATAAACACTAAATTAATACACTGAAACACAGCACAGTTCCTGATACATAGTGATGAGCTCTTAAAATGTAAGCTATTGTTACTATTCATATAGTCAACGCTAGCCATATGGTTTAAATGAAAGTTGGAGCTAGACTATACTAACTAGCTTTGGATCTTGGGCAAGTAACTTAATTTTTCTGTGCCTGGTTTCCTCATTCTGTAAAACTGGGTGATAATAGTACTCACTCATAGGGTTGTTATGATGATTAAATGAGTTAATATTTTGAAAGCAATTAGAGCCTTATCTGACACTTTTGCCCTAGATGTAGACCCTGAATATACCGTAGAATCACTCTCAGATGTTTTTCTTTGGTTTGTTTCATTTTTAAAAAACTAACGCCTGGACTGTACTCCCCCAAACTTGGATTCACTTGTTCTAAGGTGTCGTGTGAGCTTTTCTTTCCTAATCTTAACTCTTCTAGGGTTCTGATGTGCAGCTAGGATTGAGAACCGCTACTCTGGATATTCACTGAATAAGTAACTACTTATCCACCATGTGCTCAGAACTTTAGAATATCAGTCAGATAGATCTTTCAGTCCTTCAGGCAGTATTCCCCACCTCTGTCCCAGTGGAGCCTCGAGATGAAGGCAGCCTCTGGGAGAGGCAGAGGCACCGTGCTAAGCTGAGCCTGGATTCCTGACCCGCTGAGACAATAAAGACTTGTTTTCTGGCTATAGCATTGTTACAGCTGAAATTTACAAGAATTTCAAAGCATAGCCACCAGATGGTAGAAAGCTTCCCACATAACAGATCAGATTTATGATTATGGAATACATTTAGATTATTAGCAGTCAGAGGGCTGAAAGGCCTGGAGAAATTTCCAACTTTGAAAAGAAGGAAGCATAGAAAGAAGGAAAAGCTACTGCTGGTAAAGGCTTGTGCATCTCGAATGTGTACAGGATGACTGTAAATACTAATGCCTCTGTCTCAAGTAATAGGAGTAATTACTGTTCTTTAAACTGTGGTGGTAACATTTTCCAAAAATTAATTCAGTTCGGAAAAACACCCTCCTTAAGTATGGCCAGTGTACATTGCATGTATTTTGGTATAAATAAATTCCTAAAGAATAACTTTATCCTTTTTAAGCGGATTGGTCTGTGCATGATCACTGGGACTTATAAGTCATATTTTATGAGCAGGGATTTTTGAGTTTTCTAATTTTCAGGGTTTTTTCAGGGTGGAGCAGAACATGTTTTTTCAGTCTCTGTGTAGCTTGGATTAAAATTAAACTCTGATATTTTCAGATGTAGCCAGCAGTTGTCTTACATCTTTGTCACATGCTAACAGTTCATTAAATCACAGGCCTAGAAGCCAGAACTATTGCTTTTTTTTCTTAAAAGGTACACTACTAATGTGTGGTATTTGTTTTTGTCTTTTTACTTGATCAGATGATAGCTTCTCAAAGGAAAAGAAAGATTCTATAAGTTAAAAAAAGAAGTTTTATTATTAGCAGAAAAGAATATCATTGGTTGGTTTTGTATCTTCAACTGTATCAAAATTAATTGTGTATGTATCAAATATATTTAGTGAGAGACAAATGAGTATATGCTAAGCAATTATCATCTCACTGGTGATATTATTGTTAAAGAATTGACAGTTTTAAAAGAATGTTATTTTCAGTTTATTATTCAGTTTTGACAGTTTCCATGCTTTGATGAGATGACATTTTTAAATGTACATAATGAATATTCTAAAACAAACATGGTGTGATGAGAGAAGCCTTTTGATAGAAATACCAAATAGATAGAGTAAGGCTAGTCTTGCACTAGTAACAAATATGATGCCTAAAATGTGAAGTTGGTCCCAGAACAAACCTCAAGCTCTTTTCCAGTGTGTATTATTTTCCAAGTTTGCCAGGAATTTGGAAAAGGGTAGTTTCACTCCTCTAACTTCCCAGTTTGAATCTCTTATTCTTTACTTGAAAGGTTTCCTCTGAAGAGGACTGGTCTTATGAAAGCAGATTTGCACTTCATCGGCAACATTTGATTGACGGTAACAATAAAATGCTTAAGCAGATCGAACTTCACTTCAAGCTCCCACACAGTGCAGATCAACTACGCAGGTTCAAAGACACTCTTTATCTTACTCAGGTAAGCCATTTTCATTCTAGGCTTCAGCAGCTACCTGCAGTTAATGTAAGAGATCCTGTCGAGTTTGTAAGCCTTTTGTGGTGAAAAATATTCAGGGTTTCATCTTGCTGATTTAAAAAAACATTATCTTCTTCAAAATGGAGATATGATGACAGGTAGAACCTGAGATAGTAACATTTTTGGCATTTGTCTTTCTTACAAGAATAGCTCACAGGATTCTATAACAAATTGTGTATTCAAATATTCCCTAGTTCAAGATGACTATCAAGGTTCCGTAATTAAGTCTAAAGTAGCATTTGCCAAGGATAAAATGGGACACAGGAGAGACCAAAAACAGACTCCTGTAGGACACAGTCATCTGACTACTGGTGCAATATGCCATTGCAATCTGTGGGAAAAGATAGTCTTATCAATAAACAGTACTGTATCAAGTGGGTGTCTTTATGGGAAATAAATGAGCTGTGACCCCCATATACAAAAATTAATTAATGATCACTTAACTGGGAAAGGTAGTACAATAAAACTTCTAGGAGAGACCGTAGGAGATTATCTTCATGACCTTGGCATAGGCAAACAGTTTCTTAAACAGAACATAAAAAATACTATGAAGGAAAATAATGATAAATTGGACTTTGTTAAATTATACACTTCTGTGTATCAAAGCCACCATCAAGAGAGAGAAAATGCAAGCCAAAGATTGGGGAACAATGTTTGCAGTATGTATATCTGATAAAGGATTTGTATTTAGAGTAAAGCACTTCTGTAAAGCAATAAGAAAAAGATAACCTTTTAAAAATGGACACAGTTCTTGATCAGGCATGTCATCAGAGAAGATAACCAGATGGTCAGGAAGTATATGCAAATACAGTCAATTTCATTCTTAATTAAGGAGATACAAATTAGAGCCATGCCAGAATACTCCTACACACCGTGTGCACAATGTAATTTTAGCACAATGGCTAAAATTAGAAGGATCGACAATACCAACTGTTGGTGAGGAGGTGGGACAGCTGGAACTTTTAGACATTGTTGGTAGGACTGGAAATTTGTCTGAACAGTTTGGGAAATTTTAAGGCAGTTGGTACCCAAGCTAAACATTTGTGCTTCCTCCTTGAATCAGCATTTCTACTCTTAGTTGTGTACCCAAGAAAAACAAGTGCATATGTCTGCCAACAGACATCTAAAATAATGTTCATTGCATGTTTATTCATAATACCCCCAAACTGGAAACAACCAAAATGTTCTTTAACAGAAGAACTTACAAATTGTGGAATATGTACACAGTGGAATGAAAGTGAAAGTCGCTCAGTCGTGTCCGACTCTTTGTGACCCCATGGACTACACAGTCCATGGAATTCTCCAGGTCAGAATACTGGAATGGGTAGCCTTTTCCTTCTCCAGGGTACCTTCCCGACTCAGGAATCGAATTGGGGTCTCCTGCATTGCAGGCGGATTCTTTGCTAACTGAGCTATCAGGGAAGCCCACGAGGGCTCCACAGTAATAAAAAAGAGAGTGAACTGCTGATATCAGCTTCAGCTCAGATAAATCTCATAGACATTATGTTGAGCAAAAGAAACATTGAAATTTCACTGTGGACAAAATGAATCAAGGTGATATACAGCAAATCAGTGGTAACCACTCTTGTGGAAGAAGTTGGTGCCTTATGATTAGGAAAGGGTACAAGGAAACCTTCTGAAATGCTAAAAAAGTTTTGTGTCTTTCTCTGGATGCTAGTTACATGGGTGTATACATATGTTAAAATTTACCGAGTTATACACTGAAGAGCTGTTCGTATTATATTACGCACCTTACTAGATTTTTTTTAAATAGCTCTGTTGAGGTATAATTGACATACCATAAAGTTCACTTGTTTTAAGTGTACAATTAAGTGATTTTTAGTATATTTGTTGAGTCATGTGACCATCACCATAATCCAAATTTAGAACATTTCTGACAGTCCAGAAAGATCCATCTTACCCATCTGTGATCACTCTCCTTTCTCACTTCCAGTCTTCGACAAATGTTAATTTGCTTTCTCAACATTCCTTATAGCTGGAATCATATAATACCTCTCTTTGGTATGTGGCTTTTTTCACCGAGCATAATGTTTTTGAAGTTCTTCCATATTATAGCATATACTGTACTTCATTTCTCTTTCTTGCTGAATAATAGCCTGTTGTATGGAGATCATGTTTTACTTATCCATCGATCAGTTGATATACATTTGGGTTATTTTCCATTTTGACTATTATGAATAATACTAATATGAGTATTTGCATCCACATCTTTGTACCCATACTTTCATTCATCTCGAGTAGAAATATCTGAGTAAACTTGCTGAGTTATGTGATGAATGTATGTTTGACTTTTTTTGGAGTATAATTGGTTCACACTGTTAGTCTCTGCTGTACAGTGAAGTGAATCCGCTGTGTGTATACATATATCCTTCCTCGTGGGCCTGCCTCCCCTTCATCCCACCCCTCTAGGTCATCATAAGCGCCGAGCTGGGCTCCCTGTACTGTCCAGCAGGTCCCACTAGCTAGCTGTTTTACACATGGTGGTGTATGTATGTCAAACCTAGTCTCCTAGTTCATCCCACCATCCCCTTCTTCTTACCCATGTCCACATGCCTGCTCTCTACATCCGTGTTATGTTTAACTCCTAAAGAAAAGAACAACCTGCATTTTAGACAATATTTTCATCTTAATATTTACATTTGCCTATTTTATTTCATGAACCTGTGAATGCACCAAGTAAGACTATTTGAAAACAACTGCTCATTTATCTGATATTTCTGCTAAACTTGTTTTAAGTTCTGAGAGAGAAGGGAAGAACCTAATCTCAATCGTATGAGTTGATCTGAAGTAATGTATTAAACGTTTTAATTTTCGCATGTCAGCATCTAAGAATGTTCCAATTTTTATTCAAGCTTATTCTCATCAGTTTTCTCCTGTATAAAAACACAAAACCGTGGATGGAATTTGAAACAGAAAACTGTCAGCCAGAACAGTATTCTTTTTTGGAACAAACTGATGAAGAGAATTTTAACTTTTCAACTAGTATTAGTTCAAGAAGTTTTGCTCATGTGATATGTAATTTATAAACTTACTTCATAGAACACAAGTTTAAGGATTCTGTTGATATTTGTCCCTTTTTTGGTGATAATTTTTTTATTTTTTTAATTGGTGGATAATTACAATGTTGTGTGAGTTTCTGCTGTTCAACAACATGAATCAGCTATAAGTATACATACATATCCTCTCCTTGTGTAGAAATTTTTAATTAGAGGATAATTGCTTTACAACATTGTGTTGATTTCTGCCATACATCAGCGTGATCAGCCGTTAAGTATACACGTATTCCCTGCCTTGCAACCCTCACCCTCATCGCTCTCCTCTAGATTGTCACTGGTTGAGCTCCCTGTGTTATACACAACTTCCCATTAACTATCTGTTTTACACATGGTAATGTATGTTTCAACCCTGCTCTATCAGTTCGTCCCACACACTCCTTCCTGTAGTGTTTCCCCAAGTCTGTCTGCATCTCTATTCCTGCCCTCCAAATATGTTCATCAGTAACATTTTTTTCTAGACTCCATATATATGCATTCATATATGATATTTGTTTTTCTCTTTCTGACTTACCCAGAAAAGCATAATTCAAAAAGACACAGGTACCCCAGTGTTCATTGTAGCATTATATACAATAGCGAGGACGTGGAAGCAACCTAGGTGTCTATTGATAGATAAATGGATAAAGAAGTTGTGGTACAGATATTTGTCCCTTTTCAAGTGTTGTAGTTCACCCTTATTACTTTTTCATAGCCAGTATTCTTTAAAAGTATCTCAGTCTTGACATGTGAAATAGGATGGTCCCTATTCCTGTGTGTGGGTTATGTGGGAACCTTTTCAGCTGTTGTTTTCAGGCTGGCTTTCCCCCTCCCAGCTGTTCATTTTATTATGGTCACTTTATTCTGTTTCCTCAAAATACATTCAAAGAACTAACAGAAATGATTGTTATTTCCAAACTCATGAACATTGGAGGTACACAGTTAGGAGCGTGTGTGATTTCAGCCATTCAGTTGTGTCTGACTCTTTGTGACCCCATGGATAGCCTGCCAGGCTCCTTTGTCCATGGAATTTTCCAGGCAAGAATACTTGGGTGTGTAGCCATTCCCTTCTTCAGAGGATCTTCCTGACCCAGGGACCAAACCCACGTCTCCTGTGTCTCCTGAATTCGCAGGTTGTGGATTCTTTACCACTGAGCCACCTGGGAAACCCAGAAACTGGTGTACAGTGGGATTATGTATTGGTGGTTTTTCTTGGTGATTTGTCTGATCCTTTAAGTATGAGCTTCCTATCAGGCATTGGCTGGGAACTGGGCTTGTTGGTTCTATCTTGAGACTTTCTGACACTTGATGGATCTGAGATGAAAGAAATCAGAATTATGATTTTTTTTTTTTTTGTCCTTAGTGTTGGACTTTCTTGACTAAGTATAGACAGGAAATGTTAGGAAATGTTGTTAACAAGTTTTTCTTTCCTTACTATTTTCATATTAGAACAGTCATCTTTAGTGTACATACAAGAAGTAAATCTTTCTTTGGTCCATTTTCTCTGTTCCCACTCCCACCTCTTGATCTTGTTCTCATAATCTGTTACACTGTTTTGAAGAACCAGGATACTTGCCTGCATGCCAATTTTTAAGACATTCTCTTAAGGAATTTATTTTTGTGTGCACTCTTCAGAAAATTCTTGGCTGAGAAAGCTGTGCAATAAGTTTCTTTACATTTAGATCCTTCCTTGGCTTCTCTTTATCTTACAACCACAAAGGCATCCCTTAGACTCTCACCTCTTTAATTCTTCTAATGTTCCAAAATAACCTTGCCCTACTTTTCATTCTCCTACTTTACCTCTTGTATTCCAAATAACCTACATACCTAGGCACACTGTCTTAAGCTGTGTCGCACAGACCTCGCTGCTTAGTTTGGGGACTGTCTACA